GTTGTGGACCCAGATAATGCTTCCCATTGTTCAATAAAAACTTTCCTATTTAGCCTGATTATTTTTCTTTTATTTTCTTTTTTTTTTTTTTTTTCTGTACAGGAAGTCGGATTATACATTTTAGTAACGGGCGAGAGAAATGAGGCAGGGGCAACAGTGCAGGGGCCACAGGGAGAATAAGAGATCGAGAGCTAGGGTTTGGCGAAAATCTTATAAAGTGTATAAAGAATCTGTGTTTCTCTACAATAACAAAAAAACAAAGGCTACAAGAGCAGTTATATATACAAAACACGGAGATATTGCTTCACTTGCAAACGGGTTCCTGACCAGACAGGGAGACAAGACAGAGAGGAGGGCACAGGGAGAGTGGAGAGCGCGCCACGTGCAGAGGAGGGGAGGTGGGGGGAGGAGGGTCTCTCCCAGCTGAAATCTACAGGCAGGAGCAGTCGAAGGCGTGCCGCTGCTGGCTGCGCGGGGGGAATAGGGGTGCTGAGGCTCAGAGTGTCCACCTGCCCGGCCCCCTGGTGCCTTGCTCTTCGGGCTTCAGCCTGGAGGAGGGTTCTGGGTGGGGGCTGGGGGCCAGCTGGGCCAACTGGCCAGAGAGGGAGAGAGGCAATCACTCCCTGGAGTCTGCCGTGGGAAGCTGGAGGAGCCTGCTCGGTGTGCCCGACTCCTTGCTTCTGGTCGGCCCTGTCCATCCTGCCACCCTCTCTGCCCTGCTGATATGCCCACTGGGACCCAAGAAGAGCAGGTGCAGCAGCCATAGCCTGATTATTTTTCTATCAACTCTGGTATAAAGAAGGAACTCTGTGTTGATTATTGATATTAAAGAACACCAAAAATTGTAAAGAGAGATACTATTATTATTCTGATTTTAAAGCTGGTAAGTGTTCAAACATATTTTCCAGACAACATATCTAATGAACCCACCCTACCACTCAGAGTTTAGAATTACTGAAGTGTGCAGTAAGATGAATCAGGTTACTTGTGCAATGTGACTGTAATATAGCAAGCAGGAAAGAAGATAATAAAATGGAAAAAAATGTTCTCCATAGTTAATGCTTTCCTCAAAACGATCAATATCACTTTAAATTCTAATTGATTTAAAAAGCTTTCTTCTGGGCCCTCTCTAGACAATTAATAGGATGCTGTAAACTTCTGGGTGTTTCCTCACTTGTGTGTGAGATAAACCAGGAACTTATAAATTATTGCTTATTTCGCTCTCAAGGGCACCTGGTTGAAAATCACTCTAGGATTCATTTAGGATGTTCCCTAATTTCTGCAGGAATTTTACTAAACCAACCCTTAACAAAATCTTCCAGGAAAATCTTCAAGGAAAAAAAATCTTCAAGGAAAAAATCTATACAACTTTTATTTGCATTAACTCAGTTTTGGGTTTAGCCAGTTAGGCTATTAGGAAAGTGTCCATTTTCCTTAAGAATACCTGTAAGTTTCCAACATAATAGAAGTTTTAGGAAAGTGGCACAAGTGAAATACAATGAGTTAGCCAAGAGATCAGAGATCTTTCTGATTTTCAAAAGGTACAGGTAATGCCTAGTGTAGTATATTACAAATAGGAGAGAACAACAACAACCAAAAAAACTCATTAAATTAAATGGTTCCTTCCATTTTGAGCACATAAGGCTTCAGTGCCAGGTTACTAGGAAACAAGTATCCCGAGCCACCCTAAATCAGTTCCTAAGTTGTGCCCTACAAAAGAATTGCAGAGTTTCCTAGCTATCTGAGACACATTCAAGTTTATGACTGTATGTGGGTCTTTGCATATTTCAAACATGATTATTCACAGAATTTTGTAATAATTTTACTGAGCCAAAATTGTCAAGAACCACTGCTCAGGGAACCCCATAGGAAGTTCCTGGACAGTTTTTATGATATGTAGTGTTCCCAGGAAGAGTGTAGAGCTCCAACAAAATTTTTTTTAAAGATTTATTTATTTATGCATACAAGAGCTGGGATGTAGGCCGGAAGTGCAGGGGATGAGAAGATTCATTAGAGACAGAGTGGGGAGCAGAACAGGCAGACTCACTGAAATACACTGCTGAGGGGAGCAGTGGGCAAGACAGGAGAAGTCTGCTGTACCATCTGGGTCACCTTCCTGGCTGGGGATTGAACTCCTGTCACAGTAGGCACTGACTGCTTCATAGTGCTGATGCTTAACTCTTTGTGCCACCAGGGAGGCCCCCACATAAATTTTATTTATTTATTTAAGTAATTAAAAAAAAGATTTATTTATTTATACACGATTGATTGATTGATTGATTGATTTATACAAGCACTGGGTACAGTCAGAAGCACGGGAGGGTGAGAGAATTCACCAGAGCCAGAGCAGGGAGCAGAGTAGCCAGAAGGACCGAAGTACACTGCTTAGGGGAGCAGCGGGCGGCAGGAGAGGTCTGCGCACCATGTGGGACCCTCCTCTGGTGGCTGGGGAGCAGTAGGGGATCGAACTGGCGCTGCAGATGCTGCGGGCAGCTTCGCAAGCCAACGCTCAACCGCTGCGCCACCAGGGAGGTCCCACATAAATTTTTTAAATGCTAAAAAAAAAATTGAATGGAACTGAAAAGCAGGGGATAAAGTTGTGTTATGAAAGCCATTATCAACTAAGGGCTTCATGACTATGTCTTACTCATTTCCTGAAATCAACACTTGGATTCCATTTAAAAAGATTTATGTGAAACAAGAAAAATGCTGACTTTTCTATGAGGTTTATTCAATTATTCATTTAGTGATTAAGTGAACATAATGTGCTATGCACTGTATGCTATTATTTTAAATAATAGTGTGTAATAATGTGAACACTAATTGATACCATGTAAAATAAACTAAACATTCTAGAGATGAGAGTTTAACTTACTGCTCCTCAGAGAGTTTGCTTTAAGTCCTTCACTGAGTGTAGTGACAATAATACCACCCAACATATAATGATCAATCTCTTACTCTACTACTAGGTGACCTGCACCTCCCCATCCAGGATCTAAAAGTTATGGAACTAATAGTGAGTTAATATAGTGTAGTTGCTAGAAAGAATTAAAAGACTAGGAATGCAGAAATTGGTTTCTGAAGTGATGTCAACTGTTAAGTCACTTAACTGCAGAATCAATTTCCCTATCTGCAAAATAAAGTGAATTAGAAAAATGTTAAAGCCTCTTTTAAGTGTGATATTCTGTTAATCTTAAATTAACAGCTCTAATTCTAAATTCTAGAAGGAAAATAAAGTTTACTTTAGTAGTTCTTATCAATGCCTATTAATGATGCAAAAATCTCCCATTACTGTCTTGTGACATTGAATCCACTATATATTAAATTATATATCTATAAATTAATTTTCATGCAAATCTGTAACTATTCACCATCTCTGTAGCTACACAATGTGTAAAGTGGTTGCTAAGAAATTCAGTTGCTCTGCTTTGCCAGATAGTCTTCATTTAGGTACAGCATAAACTCTTTTCAGATGGCAAAGGAGGTGAAAAAGGATGGGGTTTCATGTGTGGAGAGTGGGGTAGGGTGGCTAGTGTATATGTATTTATTGCCCAAAACAATTTTAATTTTTCAAATTAAAAGGTTTTGTTTGCGGTAGTTGGATTTTAGACAGTTCCTCAGGAAAACGTTGAACATGATGAAAAGCAGCCAGCAAAGAGGATGGGGGTGAGGGGCAGTTTTATCACAATTTAGATAAAAATATTGCAACAACAACAAAAAAAGAGATAGACCTGGGACGGCATCAAGGATTAGGACGCCTGTCCAGAGCCAGGTCTTGGTCTCCTAATGTCACAGGGGGCCCAAGTTTTTACTTCAGAAAGGACTGGGGAAATGAGAAAGCGGGTTAATTTCTGTTTTAACAGCTTTAAGATATATTGCAAGTACTGAATTATCCAGGTAACCTGATTCAGGGGAAAAAAAAAAACCTCTCAAATTAACAAAACTATAATGTTTAACTATATATATAACTATAATGTTTAAATACTTAAAACGCCTAAAATTAAAAAAAAAAAAAGGGTTGCATACAAACATCTTTATCAATAGCATTTCGTCGGAAGCCAAAGCTCTCAACTTGCACTCCCACGCAGTTTAACTGTCACGCAGCTTAACGCCCCTCGCCCCCTCTGTGGGTCTCAGGCACGGCGCGCAGCGACAGCCCCGCACCCCAGCGCCGACCTCCCTCCCGCCAGAGCCGCCACACCTCCCGCGGCGCGCCTCGGTCTGGCGTCTGGGGACGGGAACTGGGGGCTGGCGGCTGCAGACCGGGAAGGCGTGGACGTGGTTCCCTAGGAGCAGCCAATCAGCAGCAAAGCCCGGCGGTGGCGCTAGTGACGTAGCCACGCTTTCCTCCGCCCACTGCGGGGCTGACGCTCTGCGCCGTCGGCCACACCAGCTCTAGCGCCGGGCAGCTGGCGAGGGAGGAGGGCTGTGGGGTCCAAACGGCTGTCGGGAAGGGGAGAGTGAACATGCGCAGCAACTCCGGGGCGGGCAGCGGAGGTGGGGCCTCTGCGCACGCGCTCTGGCGGCCCGCCGGCGGCCGCGGGCGGAGGGGGCGGTTCCTCGAGTGTCGGCGGCCGTCAGGGCGGACAGGCTGGCGGCAGGTGCCGCCGCGGCCGGCGCCGCAGCCTCTTCCCGGTCCCGGGTGCCCTCGTCCTCCTGCGGTGATGCGCTGGGCCCCGCCGGGGCCTGCACCTGCTGGCACCTCCCGGCGTGACCTGGGCCTCCTCGCGTGCCGGGCGCCCGAGGCGCGGCGCTGCCCCTGAGGGAGCTCGCGGCCTCCTCGCCCTGAGTCCGCGCTCGGGGCCGCGCGGGGAGAGCGCCCGGCCCCTCCCCCCCGCCGTCCTCAATGTCTCCCCGGCGGGGAGGGGGCTGCCTGGGAGACGCGCTGAGCGGCCCCCCCGGAGGCCCGTCGGCGGCGACAGCAGCGCCCAGTCGGGCGCCCCGCAGCCTCCCCCGGCGGCGGCGGCTTGGAGGAGCCGCGCACCCGCCGCCGCCCCCGGAGCACCTCAGCCGCCGCCGCCTGGCGCCCGAGGAGAGGGCGGCGGGCGCCCCCCGGGGAAGATGAAGGCGGAGGGAGGCGACCACTCCATGATCAACCTGTCCGTGCAGCAGGTTCTGAGCCTCTGGGCCCACGGGACGGTGCTGAGGAACCTCACGGGTAATTGCTGCGCCCGGCGTGGGGAGGGGGTGCGGAGCCGCCCTGGCCTCCCCCCGCGGAGGCAGCGCGCCCGGGGAGCTGGCGGCGGGGCCCGGCCCGGAGGGTGTGAAGCGCATCCTCGGCGCCTGCGCTCCGGGGCGCGGGGGTCCAGGGGGTGTCCGCGCCCCGCGCCCCCTGCCCGGCCCCGCGCTGTAGTGCGCCCCGGGTCGGGTCGGTGAGCAGAGCGCAGCCTGCCGTAGCCCCACGCTCCCGCGCGCCGCTCGCTGTTTAGGGCTATTTTATTTTTTTTCCTGGTTTAGCTTTTCTGCTCTCTGGCGAATCGCAAAGGAATGCAAGACTTAAACTCTCTGCTCCTAATTACCTATTTGTCAACTGTTAATTTTTCTCACTATAGAAACTAATTAATCGATTATAGTGGTTGGGGCTGGGTCAAGGTCTAGTGCATTCTTGAGCATTTTAGCTGTAACCGCTATAGCTTTTCCCTCTCCCATTTCGTGATGTCTCTCTGGCCTCAGGCGGCCGCTTCTCTGTCATTTGATATTTTTGTGTATTTCCTTTTATTCTCCAAGGCTATCCGAAGGGGAGTGGACTTAACTACATTATAATAATTAATAGCAATTTCTAGTTGTAAAAGTGAGCAGTAGTACTCATGTTTTTATAGAGTCTGTTTGCTTTGTGAAAAACTCCTCGTTAATTGGAAATGCTTCGGAGTTCTGAAAAGGGTAGTGGTTACAAAAGATTCAGTTGCAATTTGGTGACTCCTTATTACCTGTTTCTGAAGAGAAAAAAACTTTGGCGCTTACTCATGATGTAACAGAATGTTAGTATTTCAAAATGCATTATGTCAAGTTGGTTAAGAACGTATTTTATAAATACAACCTGTCTTGACAGGACACACATATGTGTGTGTATATACAGTATAGCTACGTATCTGTGTATCTTATATAAAAGCTGGCATGTTATGGAATTCAGATATTCATAATGAAAAAATGGATGAAATTACATACCATAAGGATGACTTTAAAGATATCCCTTTCCTTGAATGTGGAAACTATCAAAATCAACATAGATTCTGGATTGATTCATGTTATCCTCATTTTTAATCTGTGGTTATTTAACTGACCTTACATGATGGTGGTTGCAGGTTAGGAAAATGTTTTTGGTGTTGAGAAACTGCAAGAGACCATGATTCATTTGAATTTAGAGATAGATTATCTTATGACTTTGCTTGTATTTATCTGCTCTTTTAGTTCATATTATTATGAATTGTTTATTGGAGTGCAGTGAAAAGTAAGGATTCAAGAATGTGTATTTGTATATGTCAATGATCTACTTAACTCATTATTGAATATTTCCAAATACTAGCTTTAGGAGACAGAGTAAATGTAATTTACCTCTTGGCAAGATTTAACAATATTTTTAAAAGACTTTGAGTATGCAAAATTGTTTGTCATTGTGAAAATGGAGAAGAAATAGATTAGAAATCTGCTGCACTGGGAGGTGAGTGTACAAATATTAGCAACCATATTCTTTTAAAAAGTGGATCAAAAAGGTGGTGACATTCTGATGTGGTTCATTATGTTCCTCTTCAGGTGGTGACATTAGTGATCCCTTTTGTAGTTTATTCATTAGCCAAGAGATGCTGCCTACTGTGGTATTTAGAATTTTGTCTATTGAATACAAATACAAGTTCTAAAACAAGACAGCTGTTAGTTGAGTACTTGCAACATGTCGAACATGTTCCATATATTATTTCTAAGCTTCAGGATAATTTCTAAAGAAGATTTACAAAGAATCTCAGAGAGGTAAATTAAGTTGTCCCAAATCATGTAACCATTAAGTGACTTGGGCTTAAAGCCTTAATACCAAGTATTTGCCTGGAGAACTACTCTTTTCCCTTTTACCAGACCTTTAGCACCTTCTTTACCCTCTTACTTGCTTCATCTTTTTACTGCTCCTTGTACATGCTTCAGTTACATTATAATCTTTATTTGTTTCTTCTAGATGTGAGCTGTTTGAGGATGGATCATTTTCTTAATATTGAATTTTGGAACTCTGTCTTTATAGTACTTGGTACATAGTAGATGATCAATACATCTTGATTGAGTTGAATTGTTAAAAATACTTAGCAGTTGTTGGTTTAAATATTTAGTTGTGTTATTTTCATTTCCATCTGTTGGAGTGAATATGCTATTTGTTAGGGAGTGAGTTGTTTAACTTTTACAGATAATTGTCTACCTTTAAAGCACAGAATTGTTTTTGCTTTATTGAATGCTCATTTTTTCATGCTAATTACCATGCTGTCATGTATTTTATTTAATATTTTCAACAGTCTTGAAAGAGATTATTATTTATCCTTACATTACAGATTATGTTATTGAAGTAAGGAGAAAATTAAATATGATAATAAGTGAAAACTACCTTTTTCAGATTGTGATAACACACTAAAGTCGGAAGGCATTTTTGGACGTGAAAGAAGTAATAGAAAGGACCATAGTGTAGAATCAGACTGACTTGGTCATAAAAATGACTCTGAAGGAGTTGCAGAATCTGGCTAATAGGAATTCTAGTTAATTAAAAAACAAAAGGGTAATGCACTGTCATCTTTCATTTTCTTTCATACAAACTTAAGATTTTTTTCTTCTCTTTGTGTCTTATCCTGTGGGTGAAGCAGGAACATTTTTATATTGACCTTTTTATCTTACAGACCCGCCTTACATTTTTTAAAAGTGGGGAGAACTAGAAATTAAGACTTGATTAACATTTTAGAGGTAGAAGTCATGTAGTTTGACTCCATTCTAGAAATATGGAAATACATAATTGAAGTGATATGGCTTGGGTCATATAGTGATAAGGACAAAGATAAAACTAGAAGTAACCTTCCCTGACTATCAGTTCTGTGTCTTTTCCACGGCCTCCCCCCCCCCCAATAACTTCTTAACTCAGTTGGTCTGGTAGATGATAAATCTTAAAATGCTTAAGATTAACCTGCTAAGTATTTGCTCCACTGAGCCCAAGACCATGTGAATGACATTAATATTTGTCCAGCAAATAAAAGATAGTGGAGAATACAAGATGCTATTGAATAATAATGCTTTATAAAATTTTAAATTGCCTTTGCCAAGTAAAAGTTATGTGATGTATTTATGATATATCTAGTTTGGTCTGCTCTTTATTTTTCCTCCTTCCTAGAAGACCTTAGTATGGGGATTTCATATAGAGTAGATTAATATCTGGAGACCCCACCTCTGTCACTTATTAACAATCCCCAAACTTCTCTCTCACTTTCCAAAGTATGTAATTCACAGGATTCCTAAATTGTTCATTGTGTGTAGGTGATATGCTGCTTCTGTTTTACTAAAGTAGAAAGATAAAGGGCTTTTTTTCTTTCTCAATTTTTTCCCCTTATGAATATGTTCTCCTAGCCCCATCTACAATTAGAGTCAGTATATATCAGTTTTATGGGTAACAAAGTTTAAAAAATACTACAAGTAACTATTCTTTCGCTTTGCTTCTATTTGCTTCAACTACTTCAGGCTCCCAGTTTTGTGTTCTGACCCAAATTTGGTTGCCAAGAGTATAGAGAAGAATTTCTTACTTAGAAAAGGCAGGATCCCTAGACCCCTGGATAAACACAGAGCAGGCATGGTGTTGGGGAAGGGATAATTGGTCCCTGGGAAAAGAGGCAAAGGGTGACTTCACGCTCATCTCTTGCAGAATTAGCAGCAAATGTGGGAGCAGGTGCTCTCCTCTTTCTATTGGCAATTAACTTTGGCAAACTGAGACTTCAGGCTGCAATGAAGGTCAGATAGGTGTGTGTATGAAATATATATATGTGTCTATTTTTATGATATGAATACACTATTGTAATTCCCCTTTTCACTTTACAGTTTCTAAGAAACTTTAGTGCTGATATTGATTGTCAGCAAAAATAAAAGGAAAATGTTATTTACTATATCTATATAGGATTGTTTACACCTCACACTGGTATGACTGTTAGCTTTTAGCAGTGCTCCTAAGTTGTATGCTTCACTTAATGTTACACCGTATATTCTTATTTCCTATTAGTTTAGGTTCTTCTTAGCCTATTCGATGCTCTGGTACAGGCTGTGAGTCTAGACAGAGAAAGTTATTTGAAATGTCCACTCACAATATTTAGGTTTTGTAAATGTAGCCCAGAAGACAATATGCTACTTTTCAGGCCTTAAAATTTACTTTTTCTGAAGTATATGTGAAAAATTCCTTATTCTTTTCTGTTGCAGGGCCAGTTAATAAGTACTGTAATGATTTATAGGAGTTTGCTTTTAGGGAGGCTTACATGTATATCTTGTTGAGAATGGAACTACTGTAATATTTCAAAAATCAGAATTATCACTGTAAGATTTTTACTTTTTTAGCTGCCATCTCATTATATTTGAATTGTATATTCTTATCCTATAGCAATACCAGGTTCACGGTCCAGATGACATTTTTTAAACTCAAAGCAATTTCCAGTTAAGTCTTAGTTCTGCATTAGTGATTGAAAGGAAGGGTCAGGAAGGTAAGCTGTTCATAAAGAGTCAGAATAACTAAGGATATTTTTTCCTGTAGAATGGAAACCTAAACAGAAGAGGAAGTGGAAGGAAAGGATGGGAAGGAGGAATTGGGGCCAGGGAAGGAAATTGGAATGAAGAATGTCAGATATAAGAAGGGAGCCAGAGTATGGAGCATGTTGAATTTACTTTAGTATCAGGTGAGGATTTCTAATAATGGCCTTATTTATTGAGTACTCCCTGAATGGCAGGTACTGTGCAAAACATTTTATATGCAGCTTCCTATATTCGAAGTGGCTGTGTAAGCTTTTATTTTAGTAAGTTTGTAATCACAAACTGAGATGTGCTACTTATTTTTTAATAACTGTTTTATAAATTAAAATAAATTACAGAATAAGCAGTGACAGTAGTAACACATTTGAAAGAGTTCTCATTAGACCATCAAATTCCAGTTACTTTAAGTAGATT